CAGCCCAGCCTGCAGCCAGACCAAAAAAGGATCTAGAACAGATGGGTTATCAAAGATCACCTGAAAGTTGTCCAGAAAAGACAAACTTGGCCAGAAAAGGCAAATTAGAGACTAGGACAGTGATGGCAAACCTTTTAGAGACCGAGTGCCCAAACTGCGACCCAAAACCCACTTATTTATCGCAAAGTGCCAACACGGCAATTTAACCTGAATACTGAGGTTTTACTTTAGAAAAAACAACTCACACATTAACTTAAGATGATCCAAACAAAGTAAGGAAAGCAATACCAAATGCTTTCATTTACTTAAAATTATTTGGCAGAGAATTTGACACTTTAATGATGGTCTGGGGCCTGGCTGGGGCGATGGCAAGCATGCCCACAGAGAGGGCTCTGAGTGCCACCTCTGGCACCTGTAACATAGGTTCGCCACCACTGGACTAGGAGATAACTGGCCACATCATTTTTCTGTAGGGATAGGTGTTAGGTTTTTTTTAAGTAATGGACAAATAACTGCCTCTTTTGAGTGCCTGAAAGCAGATGCCCTGACTTAGTGACTGATTCATAATAGATACTGTTTGCTGATGTGGTCCTTACATGATTTTAGCAGCCAGGATGGGCAAGGATCCAGACCAGTATTGGCCTTCACTGATCCCAGGATCTCATCAACATCCATCAAAGAAACTGGGTCAAAATGATCCATAAATAGATCAGTTGGCATACTAGGCCTTTCTTCTGGTGTGCCTGTGTTACAGCTGACATCCAGATCAAGGCATATTCGTGATATTTTATCAGATCTCTAAGTTGCTTCTAGGACCTCGAATCTTAACTCTGTCATAATCAATATACTCTGAATACAAAGCAGCTACTACTTAGTAAAAAGAAAGTGATTAAAGGTTTTACTAACACACTGAAACGGTGAACAGGAATTATTATTTACAATCCGTCTTTCTTACAGGAACTCAAGGAAGATTACACATAATGAGTCAGTATAATCAGCAAAATGGGACATTCAATAACTAATGCATTAGGATTTTAGAAGTCTGGAAGCCCCAGAAAGACACAGAAGCACAATACAATCATTCACATGACACGTTAAGTGCTACAGAAATTACATAATAAAATCCCACTTACAATAAGTTATACATAGCAGTACAGACCAATCTCTAATAATTTATCCAAGTAAGTTTGTGAACCATTTTGTAAGGCATAACCCAATGGCCTGCACAGAAAAGCCCTCTTGAATAGTTCAGTTCTGCATAGTCTGCAGAAGAACGGCGAGTAGGAGCTTTCCTGACCTCCTCAGGCTGACCATTCCACAAGGTGGAAGCTGTAACAGAGAAAGAACATATACAGGCGGCTGTTGATTTTGGCCATTTGCAGTTGGGCACTTGGAGACACCCTACTGACATGAGCGGAGTTGTCATGGCAGAACATATGGGAGCAAAGTGGTCTCACAGATATGAGAGTCCAAGGCCATGAAGGGCTTTGTATGTGATAGCCAGTACCTTAAACTAAGCTCAGTAACAGATGGGCAGCCAATGGGATGAAGGTTTTGGTCTGTTCTTTCCTCCAATGCTTTCAGCACAGACCAGCCGCTCTAATTTAAAAGTACCAGTTTGTGAAAACTGAGCCCTAGGGAATGATTTTATGTATGAAAATGGCACACAAATATATTTCACATAAAACTTTCTCCTCAGTATTAACTTTGGTAAGAACAAAGCTTGTCTCTGTTAAGCCATGGGGTCCCACCTTCTCGCATCTATTTAGTAAACTATTTTGTTATGCTGTATGCTAATTTGCTGCTATTCACAGGTATTACTAATTGCCTTCATCCAATCTTAGCTATATTTATTGCTCACTTACTTATGCATCTTGACTCTAATTAGACCCTCCTAGCAACAACGTCCCCACCTCTACCTGTATGTAATGGTTGGTGAGTTCTGTTTCAGTGTACCTGAAGAATTGTGCATGCTCATGAAATCTTAGAATAAAACTTGGTTGGTCTTAAAGGTGCCGCTGGACTCAAATTTTGCTCTGCTGATTCAGACCAAAATGGCTACCCACCTGAATCTAACTTCAGGAACAGTTAAGGAGACAGAATACTTCAATTCAGGAACCTTCCCTACCTTCATGCATCTTAGCAGAGCAGGCGCTTGCCTTAACTACCCCGAAGTAAGTGTATATGACTCGCCTCTTGGGAAAGATTAAAGCCTTATCCAAAGAAATGCGCATGCACACAAAAGCTTATACCCAGAATGAAACTGTGTTGGTCTTAAAGATGCCACCGGACTCAAACTTTGTTCCATTGCTTCAGACCAACACAGCTACCCACCTGAACATTATTCTAGTCTACTGAGTCCAGTGGCACCTTTAAGACCAACAAACTTTAATACCCAGAATTAAACTTTGTTAGTCTTAAAGGTGCCACCAGACTCAAACTAAGTTCTGCTGCTTCAGACCAACATGGCTACCCCACCTGGATCTAACTTCAGTAAAAGTTAAGGAGAGAGAATACTTGAGTTCAGGAACCAAGTTCCCTACCTCCATGCATCTTAGCAGAGCAGGCTCTTGCCTGCGAAAACCATAAATTCCCTGCAACCAGATTGTATGGGTGTTTAATTACCCGGAAGTAAGTGCATATGATTCACCTCTTGGGAAAGATTACAGCCTTAACCTAAGAAGTGTGCATGCACATGGAAGCTTATACCCAGATTTAAACTGTGTTGGCCTTAAGGGAGCCACTGGACTCCAGCCTTACCTAGGAGTAAGCTCCTCTCAACGCAGAACAAAGTTTGAGTCCAGCAGCACCTTTGAGAGCAGCAAAGTTTTATTCAACGTGTAAGCTTTCATGTGCAAAGTATATTTCTTCAGACAAAACTGGAATAAAACCTCAAAAGCCAGTTACAGGGAAAAAAGGGGGTTGGGGGTAAGCCATTAGGAGAGGCCACTCAGAGCCCAGATGCATGTGCAGGGCTGAAATTGGAATGGGGGGCCGGACTCTGTGAGTGGCTGGCAAAACACTTCTGAGCAAGAGATTTGGCTACTGCATGTGAGCTACTGCATAAATTAGTTTGCTCTGGAGCAATGCTCCCTCTAAGCTGTGGAGTCCTGTGAGCGAAAATTCTATTTTGTGGCATTAAAGTTGTGAGCGAGCAACTTGGCTGCTGCATAAGTTAAGCCCCGGTCACACGGGCCGGATAACGCAGGGGGGAGGCGTGGCTAATTGCTCCGGTGCAATTAGAGCTGCCAGAACGCGATCCGACGCATCAGTGGCAAACCATGGGTCCTGTCCTCCCTGCCTGCACATTAACCAAGAGGCCGGCGCAATCACACCACAGGAGTCCGGAGGCAGCCCGTGGCAAACCATTTGCCACTACATACGAGGGCCCTGGTCACACGGGAGGTTTAGGGCCGGAAGAGGGACAGATCGGGGGCGCAGCAAATGGGCGCGATCAAACCACAATATCTGGGAAGCAGCGCGCACCCATCCCCGATCCGGCCCTTCAGGCCGAAAATGCGCATCAAAAAAGAACCTGCTAAAGAGCAGGACTTACCTAAATTGCCGCAGCAAGCGCGGCCGTCGGATCGCCGGCACGGCCGTCTGCAGGAGCAATCAAGGCTCCCAGCTGAACTGCGCATGTGCACACATGCACAGCCGGCGGCCTTGCGCTCCCTTCCGTGGCTTTCTCCCTGGCATCTGATCATGCCGGGGAGCAACTGCGCTGCGGCTCACGGGATCTGTGTGATCCCGCCGCTGCATGTCTCCTTTGGTGCAGCTTTCAAAAGCCACACTTTGCCGGCATCAATTCCCCCCGTGAGGCAGGGGCCGAGGTACTGTTTTTTTATTGCGCTTTTTCAGCGGTATGCCATGGGTTGGCCACGGGTGCCCTCCACTTGCCAGATGTTGCGGTGTGATCGCGCCCCGATAATCCGCCCACCACCCGTTGCCAGTGTTTCCTCTAAGCTGAGTTAGTGTGAGCCAGCTCACAGTTTTTTAGCCTCCTGCTCACCCATTTTTGTCTCAGCTCAGGAAGGAGGGCTCCAGAGCAAACTACTTGATGCAGGAGCCAAATCGCTCGCTCACAACTTTCTTGGCACTAGCTCACAAAATAGAATTTTTGCTCACAAGACTCCACACCTTAGAGGGAGCATTGCCCGTGGCTCTCCTGCAGCAAATTCACTGTGTGACCTGGAGCCGTCCGTTCCTGAGCTAAGAGGGAAATGTGTGAGCCGGAGGCTAAAAAAAACGTGAGTTGGCTCACACTAACTCAGCTTAACAACGCCTTGGTAACAGCGTTCCGTGCACCTTGGTGTTTAGTTGTGCTGGCCACATGACCACGGAAACGTCTTCGGACAGCGCTGGCTCTTCGGCTTTGAAACGGAGATGAGCACCGCAACCCTAGAGTCGGATTCGACTGGCTTTCGAGCAAGGGAGACCTTTACTTAACTCAGCTTAGAGGGAACACTGGTGGCCGGTAGGATCCATGGACAGCAGGAAGCTAGCAGGAAAATGCAAGCGTTAAAGAGACGTGAGGATGACACTGGAGCAATGTTCCCTCTTAGCTGTGGAGTCCTGTGAGCAAATATTCTCCTTTGTGAGTTACTGGCATTAAAGTTGTGAGCAGGTGATTCGGCTACTGCATAAATTAGTGTGTTCTGGAGCCCTCCTCCCTGAGCGAAGACAAAAATGTGTGAGCCGGAGGCTAAAAAACTGTGAGCTAGCTCACACTAACTCAGCTTAGAGGGAACACTGCACTGGAGTCCAGCAGCGCCCTCCAAGGAAAACCCAAGCTCAGCCCCTGCGTGCCTGCGAGAAAGTGTTTTCCGGAGCCCAGTGAGGCTCGGCTTCCTAGCAAACACGCCCGGGTGCACGTGAAGACGCCCCCCCCCCCCCCCCCCCCCCCCCCCCCCCCCCCCCCCCCCCCCCCCCCCCCCCCCCCCGTCAACATTTCCCCGGGACCGACCCGCAACTTTCTCTCCGCCACGGCCGCTACTCACCCCGAAGTCAAGTCCTGCTGGACGCTCAGGAGCCGGTCGCGGAGGCTTTCGAACATCGCTCCCCTCCCCTCCGCCTCGGCGCGCAGGAACCGGCGGCGGGAGCCGAACGGGCCGGGCAGAGGCAAGTTCACTGCGGAACCCGAAAACACGGGACGAGGGCTGCGGGGGGGCGGGGGAGGCAGGAGGAGGAAGGGGCGGAGCCGCAACGGCCGAAACCTAACCGCCGCGGGCTCTCTCACGCGCTACCGCCTGTCAATTCAGGCCCCGCCCCTCCTGGGCCGCTCTACCCAACGGCGGGGAAAGGGGAGGGCCGCGCAGGAGAGGCCGAGGCGCGCGCCGGGCCGCGCGGGGTGACGTCAGCACGCAGCCCCCTCCCCTCGGTTTTCTCTCAGAAGGGAAGGCGGGGAAGGCGGTGGGCCCTGGCGGGGCAGGTCAGCCGAAAGCGAATGTGGAGGGGAGTCTTCGGGGCGGATTAACCACCATTAAGGGAGCTGCGGTGGCTCAAGTGGTTAAGACGCTGAACTGCAGGCTGTGGGAGGTCGGTAGTTCAGCAGTTCAGCAGTTCGAGACCCGGGTGCCGCAAGACGGAGTGCCCTTTGTGATGTTTTTCACGGGTCACTTTTCTCCTTACAAAGCCACAATAACATTTTCTATGAAGAAAGGTATCCCCTCTGTTAAGGGAATGCTGTAGAAAGCCAGATTTTCCTTACTATAAGAGTCATGAAGACAGTACTTCTGCAAGGAACTGTTTTAGAAAACCTCAAGTCACTGGAAATTAATGTAAGTCACTGGAAATTAATGTAAAACTTCCAAATGAACAGTCTGATCCCCCATACATTTTTGCTTCATAACTTACTCCACAACTAGACATGTCTCTTGCTTTGGCCCAATTCAATTATGTTCCAAAGTATCAAAAAATTCAGCAACTGAAAGCC